TTTTGTCAATCGGCCCAGTAGAACGGGAGATATAGCACTGTCCCCTTTTTTTTTTTTTTTTTTTTTTGAGCAGTGTACATAACGCAGAAACTAAAATATATATAAAAAAAAAAAAAAAATTGCTGCTGTTTATTAACTTAAATAACTGCTTTTTTAAGTGTGATATTTAATTTAGTAATGCTGTAAATCCTACATATATTTAAACAAAATATACTCTTTTATTGCATTATTTAAACCAATTAAGAAAAGTTTATTCAACGCTTAGAAGACGGGTGACCTAAAAATCCGCCAGAGCTGCAGTGTCTCAAAAAGAAGGCTGTGGCCGAAATTTCGGCCAGAGAAATTCTTTCCTCCTTCCATCCTTCAGGGTGTGGAGATAGTCATTGTCTGAATAACTCCCTTGCCACTTATGTGATGACCTTCATGTCTCCCATCTGTGGGGTTTCTTAAATTCCCTTTCATATCCCTCAGCAGTGAAATCTTATCTTGGGGCAAAATCTTTCAGTTGTGTCAAAGGATATCTGTTGTTCCTATATGTTCTTTGGTTGCGCTTCACATGATTCACTTGCTTCTTTCTAGACCATTGCACCTGGGACTTATATCAAATATATAAATTTGAAAGTAACAAAAAAAAGAGGGGAATTTGAAAGGTTTCAGATTTTAATTTACGACCAAAAGGGTGTTTTTTTAACATTGTGTGTGTTACATTTATTTATTAAATATCATGTTTTTCGCACTTAAACCATAAAATTCAGTTCAACTGCAATTGGAACTGATATAGTTTAAAATGATATAGCAAAATAGTATTAAAAGGAGCATAGCTTTAGAATTTCTAATACAGAGACTCGTACGCTGGAGATAAAAATGTTTTTTCTGTACAATGTTGCCATTGCTCGCTTTGAAATCCTCGAGTTTGGTAATCAAAAATTCATTATAGTTTTTACAAAATATATTGATAATAAAACAAATTTCAAATTTGGTCTTCAACATGCCCATATTCGTAAGAGGATTACGTCATTCAAAATTCGATGTACCGTTGCTTTATCACAATGGAAGAAATACACATAATAAATAATGCAGATTTTTCTTTATTTAATTTCTTCAAATATAATGCAGGACTCTAGCATTTGGTGGCAACAGCTTGAAATGTTATTTGCTGTTTATAGTGACGCAAAATCGTAAAACAAAAACAATAGTCCAGGGCTAACCATACTAATATGCCTATGCGTATGATATATACATATGTAAATGAGGGTATGTGAGCATATACTTGAAAATCACAGATTTAAATTGAAATATTATATTAATTTATATTTTTTTTGCATTCGGCATAGAAGTTTTATTAAGAAATACGGAAGCTACGAAATGGTTCCAATTACTGGATATTTTATGGAAAGAGATTAATTTCCCTTATAAAATCAAGACTTTCTGTGAGGTGGATCAGTAGTAATTACTCTTGTACATTTGCTTTCTATATTTCTTTTATTATAAATATTTGCAAATCCAAAATGTGGCAAGAAAGCAAAATGTGAAAAAATTTTTTAAATTACAGTTTTACAGCATTTACTAAGATTTAACTTGTAAAATATCTCTCATTAAATTAGCATTTACTCTTCATTTCTTAGGAGATAATCAAAATGAATATTAATTAAAATATAGATACATATGTAGCCTTTTGTTTCAACTTCTTTCTTATTAGATAATAGTACTCGTATTCCCGTCATACCTTCGGTCAATTGAATATCATGTGAAGCATATCAGTGAAGTCTATATTCACTGGTAGTTTTTGAAGGCTCTATTCTCTGTTTCAAATAAATAAAGCTCTTGTTATTTCCTTCACGTACACACGTGGAAGGAATATATGGGCCAGTTTCACGAATAAAGTCCTTAACAAAGGCCCATCAGCTGCTAAGCGATAAAAGCCGCTGAACACTGGTAGTTTATTCCGGAATTCGATCCCAGCGAAAGGGCTCTCTGCATAGACGTTTTCTTCTTATGTAACATGCATACCAGTCAGTTCCCTTTAAAATGTCTTCCATGAAGCGTCCCACCCTTTCGTTGTAGTACCTAATATTTGACTGAGAGACTGAATTAATTTTTGTCATAAGCTCTTTTTTTAATTAAAAATGAAATTGTTATCACTATGGTAAGTAATAACGAGTCACTAAGTAATAACGAGAAATGCTATTTTAATAATGCTTGTAATTTCAGTGTTCCTCACTTTCTTGGGCATAATGAAAATACAAGCTAAATTTCTGCAGAAGTGATCTGCATAACAACATCAATATTTTGGCAAGATTATTTTCTGTTTATAGCACTTCCAGTCTTTATTTTTATATATCAATAAAAGTGGGAATATTTGGATTACAACCAAGGCACAAAAGGCTATCTGCCCAAGGGAGAAGATGTTTCATGGAAGACTTTTTGAGGGAAATTGGTTGGTACTCATGTTATACATGACGCCACATGCAGCCAGCTAGTTCACCGAAATGTGAATCGAACCTAACTATCAGTGTTCATTGAATTTACCGCTCGACCTCTGGTATATTTGTGTAAATAAATAAATAAAGTTTATAAATCCGCTTGAAATTTTAGATTAGTATTAATTTTACCAATTTCTGTGTCATTAAAAATTTATTTTTTTCCTTTATATTTCCCCTTTTTATTGTAATTTTTGTATTTAATAGTACTGTTTGAAGCATGCAAAATGCAATGCAATTAAAATATAATCAATAAAATCTGTTTTTATAGTAAAGGAGAATATATATATATATATGTATGTATATATAAAATATAATCATGTATATAAAATATAATCAATAAAATCTGTTTTTTATAGTAAAGGAGAATATATATATATATATATATATATATATATATAATGTATAAAAAAATAAAATAAAATAAAAAAAAAAAAAAAATCATGCTAAAGAGGGGGGGGAAGCTTTTATCAGAAAGCTGTAAGAAAGAACAATGAACAATAATGTAGTTGAAAGATGAAATACTTATGATACAATGGGAGTGAAAATCAATAAATTATAAAAAGAAACTGAATAAAAATACTGAATGAAATGATAATGAAAAATGGAAATGAAACTAATATAACAAAAATACAATGGGATTTAATTAATATATAAATATAAGCTGTTACACAATGCTTGGAAACAAATGAAAGAGAACTGCCAATTTATAAGAGTAACAAATAGTTAAACATCATTTTCGAGTATAAATTAAAAATCTTAATTAGTACATGTAATTCTAAATTCACTTTCAAAACAAAAACTGATTAGACTATATACTGATTTTAGGCGTGCATAGGAGGTATTTGCCGCTAAGGCATATTTTTATTATGACACAATGTCAAAAGTTAATATTCCAATATACGACAATTATGTTGCTATGAAATCTCACCATTATATGTATCCCTAGTTTTGGGAAAATAAACAGCAGAAAAGAGAACAAATTACTTTATATTATTCCTTAGTCTCTTATCTGAAAATTAACAAAGGCGACATAAAGAAAACGTTTCAAAAGAGTTTCCCTTTACAATGGCTAAAAGGGGGTGGAAATGCATTTGGATTTCTGGTCTTTTTAAGTGAAACCTTTCCAAACTGCGCAGTCTCTTAAAGGTTAAGGAAGCATTTAAGGGAAGTTCATACATTATGCAAAAATATTTATGGTATTCTAACCCATGAAAAATTTACTCTCCAAAATAGAATCATGCAATTAGGATTTTTTAATTATCATAAAAAATTCATAAATAAATTAGATATATACAGTGTTTGATATATACAACAATCCTTTTCTGGGATATCCTATTCCTATCATCCAAACGATTCCTTTCTGCGATATTCTGACAAAAATTAGTGTTCTGCTTTAAAATAAATAGTTCAATGATTGCTAGAAATTCATCGAATTGATGAGGTATCATGCGAAAATAATTAAAAGAAATTTTGTTTCGTTCAAGCGCATTTCTTCAATTAAATTATTTGCATCTCCTTGCTGCAGTCATCTCTCACATATTAATATAAACTACTGCATTCTGCTTCTCTTACAGAAAGTAAGACGTAAAATAAGTTTTAATCGATAAAATAATAATCGATAATGTAATCGTAAAAAGTCAAAATACCACACAAAAATTTCACGTTTTTCTCCCAAGTTTCTGTTATGAAGCGCCATCTATTGCAAGCATATGACAGTTTCTAAAGCGAAAGTTGCCACGCTGGTGTGAACTGATGTACGCGGTAAGTGCTTTATCCGCGTTGACGCTTTTCGCCCCAACGGACCAGTGTGAACGCAGCTTTAGTGGAGGACTTTCTAAGGGAAACTAGTTCGTATTCGCATTTGCACATGGGAAAAAGTGTGGCCCGTTCACCTGGAATAGACACCTAGCCAAGCCGAACTACTAGTATTTAGCGGTCATAACCACTCTGACACCAGAACTCAGTATCTGGTTTTAACCACTCTGTGGAGCCCTACTCGTGAAAGAGCAGAAATTTTTAAGACAACATTTAATGCATTTTATTGTCTTTTTACTGAAACAAAACTATTTTTCAGATCATTTCATGATACCATAAACTTTCATCAGCATTCATCAACAGCATTGCCATAATATTATGCAATTAAATTGTGATAATGTCTTGCCTTTAAAATGCTGTGTAAGAGGGATATCATTTGACAACTATTTGTGAATCAAAAAATTCTGGTTTATTCTGATATCTGAAAGAGGCTTTAATCATTTAGAATATATTTCCTTTCTTTTTAATAGCAGTTCTACTGTTTTTACTTAGAATTCTTAATTTTGGATCGCATCATGAAGTATATTTTCTCGTTTTTCCTTGTTACCAATTAAATCGAGTTGTTTATTGCATCTGTACACTAATGTCTGATATTTGTAATGGTGCTCTGTTTGTGTTATTGTAAAAGAATGCTTTTGTTTTTAGTGATTTATTGTTTTACTATTTATAAATTATTTTTATAATAATTTTTGTCCCATAAAGATGTGTTCTCTTGAAGTAAACTGTGAAACTGTTGGAATCATGGCAGCAACGCTAGCAAATGGAGGAATTTGCCCTATCACAGGACAGCAAGTGATTGACACGCATTCTGTTCGTGATGTGTTATCTTTGATGCATTCTTGTGGAATGTATGATTATTCTGGGCAATTTGCTTTTAAGGTGAATAACTATTTGTAAATATTTTTATAATTGTAAATATTTATCTAAATATATTTCCTGTGTTGAAGATTATAATTTACCCTACTGTAAATGTTTAACTGATTATAGGTATTCTCTACTTAAGTACATTATTAACATGTATTTTTTAAGCAGCGGAAAAGTAAGTTTTCAGAACTTAAAAAAATCTGACAATTTATTGTAGCTAATAAATATATGATACTTACAGTAGGAAACTTAAAAGTATGAAATACATATAGCTTCAATTTAGTACTAGAGATATGAGAATTATAAATTTAGCATATTTATTAGCCTGCAAATGTGAAGTATTAACATTTTTATTCTGTTAATTTTATTCTAGAATCTTTTATCATAAGAGTATACAGAGTGGAGAAAATAAAACCAGCCTAGAAAATATTTATTTTCTAGGCTGGTTTTATTGTGGAATTTACCCTTTTTGATGGATAGGAGAAATTCCCATTACAGAAAATGTTGAAAAGGGCAGCCATTTATCTCTGTGTTCAATTTATCAAACTGTGAAACATGTGTAGCAGCTCTGTCTGAGGGATAGCAGCAGTAATATTTTCAATGTTCTACTGTAGCTTTTCCAGTGTTTGAGGGTTACTTGACTACACCTGATCCTTCAATTCACCCCACAGGTAAAAATCACAGGTGTGCGTTTGTGTGTGTGTGTGTGGTGGTGGTGGGGAGATCAGGTGATCAAGTTGGACATGAGATTGCACTGCCTCTGCTGATTGTGCTCTCCTCACCAAACATTTCATGTGTTCGTGAGAAGGTGGTTATGGCAGTGTGTGCTGTTGCTCCATCTTGCTGAAAATATCGCTACAGTCATTCATCTTCTGTGAGTTGATTTATAAATGGATTTAACTGATTCTGGACATAATGGTCAGCATTAACAGTTTGGTGAAAGAATCGTGTTATGATACAGAATCCAGACATTGTGCACCAGATACCAAGCTTGAAATTATGCAGTTGCTTTTCAAAATATTCATGAAGATTTTCTGATGTATTATAGTGCATATTATGTGAGTTCTCATATCCTGATGGGTTGAACCAGACCTCATCTGAAGAAATGAAAAACTGAGGATGAAAAGCCTAATTCCTTTTCACTCGAAACCACTGGCAGAACTCGACACATACATTTGTCTGGAAGCTTTAACCCGTGCACAACTATAAATTTCTAAGTATACATATGTAGGTCCCTTTTGATAATGTTTCGACCCAATGATCTGTAAATCCCTTCTTGTGCTGATAAACAGCATTGCAATGTTGTCAGCCTTTGTTCCAGGCTTTCCTTCACTCGATGTTTTCTCGTGTTTGAACTCTTGTTGGATAGTTATGGTTTTTATTCGCTACAGAGCCTATTTTGCCACTAAGTCTTGCATTGAAGACTGCTGAAGTTTTGCCAAAATTTTCATTCTTAAACTCTTCTGCAAACAATTCCACACAAGTTTTCCATAAATTGTGCTTTGCATAACCCTCAACAATGAACATGCACTATTTTGTGTTGTATTCAGCTGGCTACTAAAAATGTTTGCATCTCTCATTCATTCAAATATAATAACACAGCAAAGAACTCAGGACATGACGCATGATAGATCAGCAAGTGCAGACAACTGACAGCAATCAGTGGTTACATTGATGTCACCAGTGGCCATTTCAAGCATTTTCTATAAAGGGAAATTCTCTTCAAGATTAAGAGTACATTCTGTATCAGGATGCCAATTATATTTCCAGGCTGGTTTTATTTTGGCCACCCTATGTATTAATAAATTTTCCTTACATAGTTATCATTGTCTGACAAATCTGAAAAGGATTATATTCCATATATATATATGTATCTATTCCATATTCCAACCATATTAGTGAATTATTATTCACCCTTCTTTTTAGAAATGCAGATGTGCATATGTGCATTGTTTTGTCAACCTAGCTATTCTTTTTATTTATTAGTTGTTGTTCACCATTTTGTTTAGAAATGTGAATGTGTATTGTTTTATGAAGCTACATCTCTCATTTTCTCCTGTGAAATGGCTTTTTATTTACCCTTTTCTTTAGAAATGTGGATGCACATTGTTTTGCATTATTTTATTAATTTAATTCTCTATTCCACCTTTTCGTGAATTTGATACTTTCCCCACTGAATTGTTGCACAATCAATAGAAGCAACACACCATGTTGCCCAAAAGTATTTATGTTGAAGTCCATGATGTTGTAAAAAATATTTACATGGCAATCCAGATATACATGCACCAGCACACCTGGATTGGCATTTTTGAAAGTCAAAAGTCATTTTTCTGATTAGTCTTCCCTCCTCCCCCACTGAATATATTTGTTTTTCTTGTTATGAATGGTAATGGGATAGAAGAGTTTGCTGGCTGATGAAAAAGAAATCAATTACATAACTTACAGTGATAGAAATATGACATTTCAGCCAACAAATACAAAAATTTGCATGTGAACTTATACTTTTTTATGATTAAATTTTATGAAAATGCAATTCAAAAAATTAAAAGCAAAGGGTTAGAATGCTAGTCAGAAACTGATTTGAAGATAGCCATATCCCAATTACAACTAATGTTCACTTTATTTATTGTTGGAATGCTCATCTATGAAATTGTGTATAAAGAACTGGGATTATCCCCAAATACAACAATTACTTGGTGTAATTACATCTGGGAAACGAGTATACAGTGTCTCACAAAAGTGATGGGACACTTGTGCTTTACAAAAGGAAACTGTAATAAAATAAATTAAAAAACATGTAAAAATGTTTTGTGGGTGTGTTTCATACTTAAATTCAGTAACAATTATTAAACATACATTTCTCAAAATATAAAAATTTTAATTTAATAAAAATACAATTGTTTAGAATGGAGCAAAAAATGGCTCACATAAGTGATGGGACAACATTAGATACTACTAAGTACTACAATAAAAATATTTTTTTTTTGGTTTTTATTTTTACTCAAAAGCAATTGGCAATAATTTATAAAATTGTCTGCAGTATTTCTCTCCAGTTTGTTTTGGAATTTTCGTGTTTTTTAGCTCTGTGCAGCCATGAATGCTAAACGAAAAGAAACTTTGCCTGAAATTCGAAAATTAGTTATTAATTTGCATATTGAACGTGGAAAATCTATTAGAGAAACTGCTGAAACAGTTAACTTGAGTCATTCAACAGTTTTCAATATCATTAAACAATATAAAAAGAATCATATATTTCAGGATAAAAGAAGACCTGGCCGACCCGACCATCAAAGCTATCCAATGGAATAAAGCGAATTATCTTTCGAAATATTAAAAAAAATCCAAGAATGAGTGCTCCTAAATTTGCTGCTGATTTACAAGCATTGTATGAAGTAATAGTTAATCCTGGGACTATTAGAAGAGTAATTCGATCTGCGGGATATCACGGTAGAGCAGCCAGGAAAAAATTCTTAGTAAGTGAAAAGAATAAAAAACTCAGACTGGCTTTCGCAAAATCCAACATAAATAAGAATTCTGATTACTGGAATGAAGTTATATTTGCTGATGAGAGTAAATTTAATATATTTGGTTCTGACGGTAGAATCTTGGTGTGAAGAAAACCCAGGGAAGAATTTCGCAAACAGAACTTGGTGCCATCAGTAAAACATGGTGGAGGGGGGGTTATGGTATGGGGGTGTATGTCGTCTGCTGTAGTTGGTAATCTTGTTTTTATTGACCATATAATGGATCAGTACAAGTATAATGACATTTTAAATCAAAATTTGAACTCTTCAGCATGAAAATTGAACCTTCATAACGATTTTAAATTCTACCAGGACAATGACCCCAAGCACATTGCTTTGAATGTTAGACTCTGGCTGCTGTATAACTGTCCTGGAATAATAAAAACACCACCACAATCTACAGACTTAAATCCCATAGAGAATATTTGGCAAGAATTGGAATCAAGAATTCGCAAACACACCATTTCTTCAAAACAACAATTAAAAATCGGTGCTTCAAGAAGAATGGGGTAAAATTACTCCAGAAATCGCAAAAAAATTAGTCAAATCCATCCCAAGAAGATTAAATCATGTTTTAAAAGTAAAAGGAAATCCAACAAAATATTAAAACCTTTTAAAAAGTAAAATTTTTAGATAAATATTTGATGGAAAAGTAAGTGTTCCATCACTTATGTGAGCCATTTTTTGATCCGTTCTATACAATTGTATTTTTATTAAATTAATATTTTAATATTTGGAGAAAATTTATGTTATGTAATATTTGTTACTAAATTTAAGTATGAAACACACTCACAAAACATTTTTACATGTTTTTTTAATTTATTTTACTAAAGTTTCCTTTTGTAAAGCACAAGTGTCCCATCATTTTTGTGAGACACTGTATCTTCTGTAGAATGAGATGTATGTATATATAGGGGGTACTTGAATGTATCAATGAAATAGATGTAAGGGTACCGTTACAAATATTTCTCTCCAAAGTTGCCAATGAGCTCATGCCAATCGTCTGCAAAATCACCAATAATCTGTTAACTTTTTAGTTAGGATGCAAGTGATCAGAAAGGCATAGGCATATTTTTATTCTTCTCATAAAGAGATATAGATGTGAATTATTTTGCATTGTTTTATTAACTTATAGTTCTCCTTTATACCTGTTAAGTGATGTGCTGTTCACCTTTTTTTTAGAAATGCCAGTGTTCTATTACCATTTTTACTAAAAATATGACTGTTATATCCCTCATTTCTTCAGAAATGTTCTCCTCTTAAAAAATAAGTAGCATCTTAAAAAAAAAAAACAACGTACCATAATTTCCAAACATAAGCAGAGACTGTGTTTTTCTTCAAAAATTTATCATAAATTCAAAACCTGTATGTAAGCCACTGTGTAAAAAAAATTCCTCTAGCATTCAAACATGTATCCATGAAGGTGAAAGTGTTACCAAGCAGGTAAAACATCTGAATTATTTTCCAATCAAATTGTTGTAAGCAAAATAC